GCTGCGTCCTGTGATCACACCTGATTAACAGGACTGGGACAAACATCGGTCAAGGGCTTAACTTATGTATAAAACTTTCGTTTACAGCACTACAGGCTTTACACCCTATAGGCTTCACTTTGCCAGGGAACCAAGACAACCTCTTGATGATCTCGTTGACAAAACTAAGCCTAAACTAACTCCTGAGACTGCAAAGTTCACCAAGAGTTATGAGAAAGACTTAGAGAAAGCCAGAACAAACATGTTCAAGGCTCAGAAAAGAATGATAGCGCAGGCTAATAAGCACCGTTCTCACTCTCCTATTCGGCCTGGTCACTGGGTCTGGGTGAAAAGATCAGAGTTAACTGATGAACATGATATATCACAAAAGTTGTTGCCTGTATACTATGGCCCATGGCAGGTACTTGATACTGTGGGAGCAAACCCTTTTGGGCCTTCTTATGTACTTGCTGTACCCCCACATACCTGGACCTATCCTGTCTTCCATGCCTCAAAACTGTTGTTTTTCACTCCTGCTGACGCATTTCCTGATCGGCCACCACAGTTTGGACCTCCTATCCCTGGAAAGGGATATGAAGTCGAGAGCATTGAGGACCAATGGGGCACTGGCCCCGATTGTGGATATCTTGTCAAGTTCCTCTTCCAACCTCATACTGAGGACCGTTGGTTTACAARAAACGAACTTCTCAAGTCTGCCAATTCAGTTGTGCGGTGCTACGARGCTGAACAAAGTGGAAAGTTGCTCAGACGGTCTCCTCGTGGACACTCCTAGCTCGGGGTCCTCGTTCCCCGGGAGGGTAGGAATGCAATGAATTGCAGTGCTACAAGCATGCTGTACACTAATTTCGCCCCTGTCATCGTTGGCGGGACTTGATCCTGCAACCTTTGCCTGCTGTGTTGCCTGTTGGTTTGCTGTTTGCCTGTTTTGAGCCTTGCGGGACTTGATCCCGTGACCTGTAATCTGTGTGTCTTGTTTGTGAGTGTTGAGCTGTATGGGASTTGATCCCTGAGTCAGCTACTAGTAGTCTCTGTTTGGTAGTTCTAGGCCATTTGGCCTATTCCTTTTTGTGTTCAAGGTMCCCTTTTCCCCTCTTTCCATCTAGATACAGGTGAGTCTTGGGTTGTTGCTTGGGAGTCCGTCGTAGGTCTAGGCAGAGGGTAGAAGTAGCGGGCAGGAAATTTGGGTCGGGTCTTTTCTCGTTGTTTCTGCTGGGAAAACTGTGCCCGATCGTTGCTGCGTTAATTTTGGGCGAGGGCATCTTCGTCCTCGAAGCCCAGCCATAGCTGGGGCTGGGACACAAAGTTGGAGATAGCACTGCTGCTATCAGCAGCTCTGCGCAAGAGCTTCACCACGACTGTGTTGTTGGGTTTGAGCGCTGCCTTTCTTCACTTGGCAGCCATATTTGGTGTTCCTCCTCATGAGGAACTTCGTTTTTCTCTTCTTCGAAGTGCTGGATCGGTTGTCACCTTCTTCGTCAGGACTTCCAGCGCTGCACTTCAGTGCAGGCGCTGAGCTGGTGCTGCTATCATTGAGGCTGGTGGTTCAGATTTGCACGTTGTGACAGCTGTGGGGTTACTGCTGCTACGGCAGCCATAGCCAGGGGTATGAGGTGGCGAGGAGGAAGAAGAAGACTCCTGCAGACTTCGTTGAA